TTTATTATTTTTACTTTCTGAAGATTTAAATGTAGAGATTAGGGTATTCCTTATGCACTTTAAGGCAGAGAAAGGCAAGATGCTGTAGTTTGCATGTGAATAATCAAATTAATCGTATTTCATTACATTTAATGTGTGTTTCACTACTAGGCTTTCGTATCTGAAATTTTGAAAATAAAAGAGATAATAGCAACTGACACTGTGCTTGAGATTTTTATCATATATGATTTCTTTTCCCTGGATAATTCATGTTGATAGTAAGTTTTATGTTCTAATTATTTTTATTCTTGCAGGCTGCTGAATCAGGAATAATAAAAGTTAAAACAATAGCTGCACGAAACACCGAAATTTTGGCAGGTAATTTTTTGCATTAAAAATTCAACAATTAATGAAAATTTGACTAATAGTAAAAGTAGAATCTTCAAACCCATCATTTTTTTTTTACAGCGTCTCTTCCTTATGCCCTAACATGCTATCCGTAATGATAAAGAACATGTAAAAGTCCCTAACTTATGAACTAATTGGGTTTCCAAGAGGTGAATGCTATACAAATCTTCAAAATCAGAAAACTTAAAATGACTAACTCCTCAAAGGCAAGGGTTTTCCTTACTCATCATTGTATTCTTCTCCACCTCTTGTCAATCACCTAAGACACACCTTACTCATAAAAGGCATTCAATTAATATCTTTTGTACTGAATTAAATGGAAGATTGATTTTTCAGACCACCTCCCAAGATCTGTTTTATCTTTAGTATAATATAAACAGGTCATAATGTAGGCTATAAATTTAGTAGTACTCTGAGTTTTGTGTAGTGAGACTAAGACTACATGTTCATGAAGAAAGAATGGAAGTGGGACGGAGGAAAATATTTTCTTACGTTCTCTTGATTGACCCTGGTGTTCAGGGAGCCCTCAACAGTTTCTCTGTGGCGCCCTTTTGGTACTCAGTCTGCTTATTTTCTTTAGTGCCTTTCTGTTCTTGCCACAATAATGAACGTGGAAAAGAAGGACACTGGCGTTTTTTGAGAATCTGTTACATGTGAGGCATTTGTGCCGCTCTGTCTTATATAAGGCAGCCTTGTGGGGAAATACTGTTTTTATTTAATGGAGAGCAAATTGAGATGCAGAGAGGTTTAAGTTACTGGCCTAACATCACATGATAAGTTGTGGAATCAGATTCAAAATCCGGGGCTGCTGAGAGCCCGGGTTTTTCCACAGTGTTGTGAGGTTTCCTGTCTATAGTGTTCCCTCCCAAGTGTTTTTTGCATTCCTTACTTCACTGATCCTTCATTCTCCATTTCCAATCCAGTAGTGCTATTGGTCTCAGTTCG